TGAGTATTGAACTCAGCGTCCATGAAAACCCTATTGCACAGTTTTCAAACTTTTTTGAAGATTTCTGATACGTAGCTTTTTGCATGGTGACATCATGTGCCTGAGATTTCTACCGTAATCCTACAGTAATGAGAGGCGATCAATGACTTGTTCTATATTGTGAATCTAAGTTAAAGCCAGCTCTATAAAATGTTGCCTAAAGTTTCTCGAAAGCTTTGCATATAAGGAAGTTATTAACGTTCAAACGTTCGATACATTCTTACACCCTGTGTAGCTTGACTTTTCAGATGTATGTTCAGCAGTTAAAATCCTAGGTTTGTGGGAACGCGAATCTCACTGATTAGTACATTATTTTCGAAAGATATATGCTACGAAGTTTTGGTAAGACATTTATGATGCAGAAGAGTGCAATTGCACACCAAGTAAATCGGGGTTGAAGCAGTTCGTACCTATCAAAAACACGTAGGAAAATTTTTTTATTTCCTTCTGGTTTCCCGTGCTTTTCTCAATTCTTTTTCTTCTATTTTTATTGTCCATTCATTTACTGTTTACACAGGTATGAACTTCGTCACATTTGTCAGATTAGATCAATCATTTGAATTCTTGAGCTCGCTATATTCTTCTCCAGCCCAGATGTACTATCACCAAATCAAAGAATGATTTACAAAAACGGCACTAAATTAGCCACAAATCGCGCATGCGCCAACCATATGGTGGCTTTTAAAAGTCTTATCGCACTACTTAGCTGGTGTTTATATCAAATTTTATCCCCACTCTGTCCTTTTCTACTCAGGAACTCTTCGTGGGTGCTTTGCACAGCGAAAGAGAAAATCTAGGAAAAAGCGAAAAAGCTGTGCGCGCAGGTTACTTGAGCTGAGCGAGCGGCGACATTCGATCCGAGCTTTGCTTCGAGAAGACGAAATTCGAGAACTCGCACGAGAGACGAAGGGATACAGCATTTGAGAGATAAAGAAAGAACTCCTCCACACATAGTATACATTGGTTACAGAGCAAGCTTTTGGGTTCTGTTCGTACAAATGAGGATCCTTCTTTTAGAGAAGAAATTTCTAGAAAATTTGGTAAAGTCTTACCTCTTCAAATTTATTGGAGATCATAGCAAATGCTTTATTTATTGTCGCTAAACTTCCAGTAATAGTCACTATACGTTCTGGACATGAACCATCTGATATATTGATTTTTGCACCAGATTCTTCTCGAATCCGTTTGATTTGATCACCTCGTTTACCAATTATACTTCCAACTTCCTATAAGCAAAAA